TAATTTTCAGTGCATTCATATTTGTAAATAATTAGAAATAAAATTTGCAATGATGACGTGATATAGATAATATTACCCTGCTTTATAGATAAGAAAGCAACTTGAACAAAACTCAATAAATTGCCTGTGATATTACAGTGGATAACGGTTGGGGGGGGAGCAGCAGGATTTGAACTAGTGACAGTTTAATCTAAAGCATACCCTCTGGTACTTGACAAGTCTTGCAAACAGCCAGTGACACAGGAATGAGAGAAGGAAATATAGGTAGAAGTAGTATATTAGGTGAAAGCAAGAGGAGGCAAAAAGCAACAATATTTGGGAATGTTGATTAGGCATCAAGTAAGCTGTCAGCATTTGTTCTCTCATTCCTTGTAGGAAAACATTCTACAGTGAGTGGTATTGTCAGGGCCACAATTTTCTACCCTGTTGAAAGAGTATAATGAGAATACACAATGGGAGATGTACAGCACTTAGAACAGTGGTTAGCCATGTGGGCTCAATAAATGTTAACAGTCCCCCAAATTTAGCTCATTTAGTCCACAGATATTTATTAAGGCACCAGTATATACAAAGTATTGGGGCTACAATAATGAGCATGTACAGAGACTAACAATGAATGTAGTGGGATCGTTTCCAGTGTGCGAGGGCAATAGACATGACACATGAATTCATGTATAGCAGATCCTTTGTGCTACAGGAGTATAACAGGTCCCCAGAGCATCTTTTTGTTGTCAGCAGGGATCCAGGCCCTTGGACAGGTATCTCAATAACCCTGCCCTACCACTGAGAGGTAGGGTTGCCTGTGAGAAAAGAATATGAACAAAGGTGACTGGTCTCTGCATTTCTTTTTTTTATTTTACTTATTTTTATTATTATCACTTTCTGATACAGTTCCATACATCATGGGATTTCCCTTATTCCCACCCCAATTCCCTCCCCCAGTTCCTCTATATCATTACTACAGTAAAGTTCTTCACACTCAGTCATATGTCCATCATTGCGGGCAGGGACAATGACAGAGAGTCCAGCATCCTATTGTCAAGATATAAAAAACACTTTCATTGGGAGTCCATCTTTGATCTGGAAGTAGAGATGCATATTGCATTGTATCCTCACATCTGGATATGACAGTCTCACTGTTGTCCTCTGCAGTCTTAAATTCTTTACCACACTGTAACAAATGATGTCTGATATGCCACTACTAAAGTTCTTGATCTGCTGGGCCTCAGCTCTGAGGGCTACCCAGACCTGTCCTGGGTGGAACCTGTAGGATGCCACGTTGTTGCAGTTCAGTGAACCAGAAATGAGTTCACTCCCAGCAGTTCTGCCCCATAGCCTTCACCTCCTTTAACAAAATGGTGCCCGATTAGGCTCCAGGAGGCAGGCTGGGCTGTGAAACCCACCCTGTTCCCACACTGCCCTTCTGTAATCTGTTGTTCTTCCTCTGCTCCTGTCAAATCAAACAGACCAGCAGGACGGACAGTTCTTTGTCTGGGTTCACCTCCAGAGCTCCCAGTAAACGTCCCTTCCCACCTGGTTGCTCTTGAAGTTCCTGCTGCTGGTGGAATTCAGATCACTGTTCTCTGAATGCTGCAGGGGTATCAGACACCATTGTGTCTGCTGCTTTGCTGTGTCTGTCAGTCTCCGGGTACCCCTCTGCTGTTGTTCTGCCCTTTCCTATTTCCTGGAATGTGCCCTCTCCTCTTCACACCAGTATTAATTCTCCTTCTGTTTAAACATGTCCTTACCCTATTCTACCATCTTGATTTCTCTGGCCTCTGCATTTCAAGCACAGAAGGCAAAACAAAAGCAGTCACTTGAAAGAATTGACAGAATCCTAGCAATTAGAATCAAGTACCATCAAGTCACCAGGCAGAGAGTGCAGAATGGTACCAGCAAGCACCACTATAGCCAGGAAGGCCACTGTAGCACCTGAGAACCCAAGAGTGTACACAGCCTTCATCCACAGCACAGCCTGCAGTTTTCTGTGACTTGGACCCTGTGGCTTGGCCCAATTAATCTCCTAAACTGGGTCATCTCCCTGGGTTGCACAGCAAGCAGGAGCCTGGCAAAACAGTCCTGATAAACACTGACATCAATGAGAAAAAGCCCTGGAAATAATCTGTTTTCTTTCAAGGCCTGAGAACAATCAGGTTCCCTTTGGGACATTGCTTGAAAACGTGTTATTCCCTCCCACTCTTGCCTCAGGTAATTTTGCCAAGAATTGGGAGGGTATAAAGGAGCCAGTGATAGGTACATTTCCCAGACCCTCCCCACTACTAAGATGAAGGGAAGGAAGAGGGCTGCTTTGTCCTCATCAAAATGGTCTCTGCATGCACCCTTGGTGTGTGGGTAATGAGTTTGTCTGATCAGTGAACCCAGGCAGTTCATAACTGTTAAAGAATGCACACTTCACAGAAGTTTCTGAAACTCCTCTGTTAACATTGTTCTTGGCCAGGGAGGAAGACCAGACCACCATGGTTCTCACTGTTGCCTTGTTGAATAGCATCTCAACAGGCACATATAGTAGCAGCCACAGGAAGGTAGGTTATCTTCACCCATCATCCCCAGCAGAGCTGTGCCATAAAAGAAGGAAACGCTGCCACCAGAACTCTCTGTAATCTTTGCCTTGTAGGACTGGAAATATGGTCTGAGTGCTTGAGAGAGCTTCCTGGTGTTTTATTCTGCCAAGAGGCTGAAAATCTTTTAGGACCCTCTTTCATTTCAAAATAATTATTAACTCAGGTCATAAAAATACCACTGGAAAAAGCAGCTGATGCAAGAAATAGATGCTGGCAATTTGAAAGAGTTGAAGCTCTGACAAAACACAAACAAAACAGGAACATCATAAGATCAAACCCCATGGATCATTAACTCCCGCCTTTGCCCTCAGTGTTCTGGCTTGGTGGCACATGTTTGCATCCTCACATTACTTAGGAAGAAATGAAGCGTGAAGAGATCGAATGGCACAATAAATGCCACACAAGGGCTGCAGAGTACCCAGAGAAAGCTCAAGACAAACTCTCCCTCTGGATTTCAATATCCTCTTGCAGCCTTTAGCTGTCCCTCATCGCCCTACTCCACAGTCATTGAAACGGCGTTCTTTTATCCACATCATCCAGGTCATTGTCCATCTCCTGACACGCACATAGGCCAGCCTCAAACATGCATAGAATTGAAGGAAGCAACATCTTTCCTCTCCCATCTTGAGCTGTCCCTCCATTGTACCTAGATTTTGTAATTAGTTAAGAACACATCACATCAAGACTTTTTTTTTCCCTTCTAAATGACTGTCTTAGTTAAGTGTAAGCACAATAAAGCCTGATGGGAGTGACATTAGCCCAATTGTGAAGAGTTTTAGAATGGGAAAACTGGATGAACATAGCATGTGTTCAATTTACATAAGATCAGAGGAAAGAAGTAGTGAGAACAATTCCCTGAGTACTCCAGGAGGCCCCAGCACGCCCAGGAGAGTGGCTACAGGGATGCATGGTTCTGTGGGCCATTGTTACATTCACAGCATTACAGAAGGGTGGAAGCACTTTTCTTGTGAAATATTTCAAACCCAGAGAAAAGTTTAGACAATAATTTTGGAGGTCAATCATTATCAAAAAAAGCTAGTAACTTGTGTGTGTCTACCCTGACACTCCATTTCTCCATACCTGCTTCCCCCTTTGTTTGATGCCTGTTATACATTGCATGTTTTATGTTTTTCTATAAGTTAACATATCTACAAATAAAATGTGGTGTTTTAAACATTTTGAACTTTACAAAAATGAAAATATTGGTTTAACATTATATTTACATGAGTTAAACAATATTATATTTCATATGATTTTAAAATGATGTTTTAGTATGAGTTAAATATTCTGTAATTTGTGCTTATGTAATACCCAGAACCCTCATTTGAACTGTTTTGGAATATTGTCATTATGATTAACATGATGTTTAACTGTTTTGAACTGGCAAAGTTGCATGTGAATTTCTCTAGTTGTAAGTCCAGATATGATCTGATCTGCCAAAGGGAATGAATATTTTAAGTATAGTAGATTTTGCTAAATTCTCTCTAATGTTTTTCGATCCTGCTATATTCTAAAACTGAAAGTTTGAGAATATGCACTTCTCTACATTTGCTATTGTCAGACTTTGAAATTTTGCTAAATGAATGACTGCAAAATAGGCCTCATTTAATCTATAATTTACCTGTTTAAAATCATTAGATAGTTAAAAATGTGTTCCATGTTTATTGAACATTCCTATTTCCTTGCTTGTTCATGTTGTCTGCCCATTTTTCCATCTGAGTACTGGTCATATTAATGCTGATTTGGAGAATGGATTTACCTATTTAAGATATTAACAGTTTTCCAATTCTGGTCATCACAGAGATGCAGTCTGTTCTCAATGATTGACGATATCATTGGAGTTTGTTTAGCAACAAAATTTGACAACAACTTATTTTTTTAAAAAGATATACATAAAAACAATTTTTTTCTACATTAGGCTGTGGATTCAGAAGAAGGATGATGAATGCTACTTTTCATCATCTCTTTCTTTATTTCTCCTCCCAACCCAAGGTTACAGAGTTAAGTCCAGGCTTTGTGCTTGCTGTACGTGACTGCAGAGGGTAATTCTATATAATTATAGGTGCTGGATAAGGACCAATTATGAGACTTATTAGCTTCGCAGTGTTGGATCTAACATACAGCACATCTTTCATAGATATAGAAACTGTTAGGAACTGAGTGCATCCCTAGCCAGAGCTTTCCATGGGAGCCCACCGTCAACTTTGGGCAGGGCTGGAATCACAAAGGAACCACACATCCCAACTGACCTCTGAAATGTTTGACATCAGCGAAGTCTCCAGGTGTGACCTTAGCTCCTAGTCTCAGAACCAAAGAGGTCTATAGTCATACCACTGTAATGTCAAGTTGCATGAATGATTTGCCTTGGAACTCCTGATAGGAAATCTTAAAATAACCCTGGTTGTCTTTCTATTTCAGAGGTGTGGCGAAATCTTGTTTGAGAACCCTGATCAGAGTGCCAAATGTGTTTGCATGCTAGGTAAGAAGGCTTCTTGTTCTAAATATATCTGGCATGTTGATGTCACATGGAGATACTCTTGCTTTGGCTCTCTTGACTGTGTCTCTTGTTCCATTTTAGAGAGGCTTATAGGCTTGCAGATGGGTTTATGAGCGGCTCTAACAAATGTATGTGTGGAACCCTGGTGATGAACAAGGTTTTGGTTTTAACAACCGTCAGAAAGTCAGGAACCACACTTTAGGATCTTTCACGTTTTTCCTTGGCTCAGCAGCATAGCACAGAATTCAATACCTCATTTGGGAAACTGTAATGAAAAGATGAAAAGAACTGTACTGTAGTATCGAAACTGGAGATGCTGTGAGACATAAGTACATGATTATGTGTGAACAGCATGGCATGAAGTCCTTATTTGCAATGCCCAGGAAAAACATGTATTTGAACTAATCTGAAGTCCACAAGGTAGTCTCCCACAGTGCATTTGTAATGAAATAACAAAATTGTTATGAAAAATCATTGTTCTTTGAGAACATCGTTAATGTCTTTCATACACTTTCTGATGAATACCAGTGTGCTAGAGAATGAAATCGATAGTAGTGTTCTGATTTTATACCTTAGAAGCATGTGCACAAAATGGAAGTGAAACAAAGTGAGAACTAGTCCAAATCATGATGTGCTAGTATCTGAACTGCAAAGCTTTAGTTCTAGTGTTTAGATCTTAAGCCATGAATCTATGCCCAGTAAACTTGCAAATGATTGTAGTAGGTAGAGAAAACAGTAGCATGGTTAAATAAAACAATCCTTTAATGTTATTTGTATCAGAATTTCCACCTACAGCTATGCTAATCCTAAATCATATTCCTAAACCAAGATGAAATGATTCTCTTTATTGTCTGTCACTTATTGTGGTACCTCATGTGCTGGTAACCTAGGTCACCAGTGAGATTATCCAAAAGCATTGAACATAAGAGGTGAAGACAAGGAACAATCCCAGTAATTTATGAGTTGAAATAATTGTTTACCAAAGACTCAAATATTGCTCATGATCTAAAAATGAGCACTAAACAGACGCTATATTTTCCTAGCCTTCTGATCTTTCTTATTTTCTTTCTATGTTATTTTAAATCTCTGTTACACTGATTATGCACTTTTATTTTAAGATGATGGACATATATATATACATATATATAGAAAATGAATATTTTGCTGAAAGTATGTGAAAAATGAATACAACATAACATTTAAAAATCCATTTCAAATATACAATATTCCTATACATTAACCATCAACATGTGTGAAAATTTTAAGTTTTTCAGGCTACTAGACAGAAAATACGTTGACATAGATGATGACTGGGAGGAAGAGAAAGCAAAGGATGGAGAAAGAATGGGACGGGAGGGGAGAGGAGGAGAGGGAAGAGGCATATACACCACTAAGACTGAGAATATAGTATTGCAACCTTCAAGAAAGGACATGTGTGTTGCCACCAGAAATGCAAGTCTGATACTTTTGTTTCCTTTAAAAGGAGATGATCACCTTAAGCCTTTATGACTCCCTGAGGCATTTCTAGAGAAAACTTTATATCTAACAGCAAAGGATAAGGATTCTCTTCCATTAAGGGACTATTACATTTCATAAGTGTTGATAAATATGAACGTTGCTTGGATCCCACAGATAGTTTGATTTTTATTTAAAAAAAAAATCCCAACAAGAAAATCTAATGCATTAAACCTGCAAGTTTCACCTTCGCTCTATGTCACCCCAATGTTGGGTTCTCTGGTGATGACTGATCAGAGCCATCCATATCCATATCCATATCCATATCCTTCAACAAGCCCTTGACTTATTCCTGCTACGGTACCCATCACTGCTGGCCTCTATTCCCAAGTTGCAAGTGCCTGCCTGGACGCTCGTTGTGGTCAGGTTTCAGCTCAGAGAGGTGGATCATGGAAGAAGGTCACCAGCTATCCACACATTTGCAGGACATCTCTCTCCCATTGATGAGTTGCCAGACTGTTCTGAAAAACACAGTCTTTATGCTTTAAATGGTCTGGCTCACAACTTCCACACATAAGTCACCCTTATCAGAAATCATACTTCTGGTGAATCACATTAACACATAAGTATAAAATTCATCTTAAGCCGCTTTGAAATTGAATTCACTGCAGTTTTAAGTGGGTGTGAATTATTGTCATATATTGCCCTTGCAGAGAATCACAGTTGGCTTTAGAACAGCTTGGCTTGTTTAACGTTGGTAAATAAGGGTTCATTGAGGAACTGGCTGTGCTGAGCATTAAATATTTCTTGAAATTGGTCAGAGTTAAATGTGGATGGGTAAGCCCCAACTGTACTACAGTTGCTTTCCTCATTTTTTCAGACACAGGACAATGTGTTTAGTGCCCTTTAGTTGTTCCTATCTCCCATTTAAAAATATTTAGCCTCAAAAATTCTTTCAAGTTCAAAAATAACCTCAGAAACTTGTTTATGTGTATCACCTTACAACTGTAAGTAAGTGTACAACTATATAGTAAGATTTACACTTTGAGTTTAATATGAAGGCAAAGAGTAAGGAAAAAAAATAATTTTGTGTAGTAAATGCATGAAGCAGTGAAAGCTACTATGAAGATTTTACTTATTAAAAGTATAATTTAAAACAAATCTATTGGTTAAAGAGAAATCACCATACTTACTTATGTGAAGTGACCAATGTTTATTTTCTTAGTTCATTGTTAATCTTCTGTGAAATGATGGAAAAATTTCAGATCAGACATAGTGTCTCTCGCTATTGCTTGTTTTCTCTTTGTTGATATGGTGAGATTCTTTTTAGTAAGCCTTAGTTTGTATTTTATGCTTTTTGCATCCTCTTTATTATGGTTTAATTCTTTCCCCATTTGATGCATTTCTGTTCTGTGTGATTCTCTGAATGCTGGTGAGCATCCTGATCATTGTAGTATACACCAAGAACTTTCTGACTAGACATGGCATAGGACACTTTCATCAGTGTTCTGGTAATGTGTTAATGTGATCGTTTCTACTCACTTAAATGATTTCTAATTTTCTGAATAATAGAATGCCATCAAATCAATAATTTATTAACACTTGACGTAAATACAGACTTGTTTTCCAGTACTAGCTCTGAAAAATTAACTGTGTGCTTGTAGAAGTTGTTTCATCTCCTAGTTTTCAATTGATAGTGTTCCTACAGAGTGGAAACTGAAACATCTGCTCTTCCTAGCCTGCGGATTTTTCCACCGATAGATAGAATGAGACCTTCTGTGATGGAGTGTCCTTTATGACATGACACTTATCTTGAATATGATGTGCAACTGAAAATTCAAAATCGGTCCTTATCTAAGAAGAATTATGGTATTTATTGATGGCATTTACAGTATTTTGAGAAGCAGAGACATTGTGCATATTCAGGGGTGCGTCGTTAAAAATATTAAATGTATTTCTTAAGCTTAAATGGTACTTCAAGGGCAAAATCATGAATTCATCCAATATCCACTACCAAGATGTGCAACAAGCATCTTCTCTCTGCAAGTTACTAGGTCCAGCGACCCAATGAGCAATGGGCACAGATCCTGTCCTCAAAGGAACAATAGCCCAGAAAGAAATTCAAGTCTTGAACCTCAATGTAATGCAACACCTGCTTGAGACTGATGAATGATGCAAAATAAATAAGGATGAAATGTTTTAAGACTTCAGTAGATAGAAACTATATGGATTATAGATGCAAAGCTGAGAGTGTGGGAACATTCCAGGTAGCTGTAAGACCACTCTGATACAAGAAAGCTCTGATGTGGGAGGAGACAAGAAGGGCTTCAGGCCACAAGAAGAATGAAAAGGTAAATTATAAAGGAATTTGAGACTTGGTAATACCAAGTTTGTTATCATCCACTCTGAAAAAAAAAAACCAGAAATACCAGATAAAAGGGAGTTCTCATCTCGCCTAGTAAGAGTATATTTTATACTTAATCATAGAGTATCACAGAATATAAAAATTTGATGTTTTGAATTCTGGGTTTGATTTTATCAAAAAAAATTTTTGGTTTTTTTTCAAATTTGAAAGTGAGAGAGGGAGGTTGAGAGACGGGAAAGAGATCTTCCATCTTCCACTTTTCTCCTTCACATGGCCAGGCTCCAACTGCTTCTTCCTTGTGAGTGGCAGTGCCCAAGCACTTGAGCCATCTTCTGCTGTCTTCTCACTGACATTGTCACGTAGCTGGAGCAGAGGCACGAGCCTTCCTATATGAGAGGCTGGGGACAAATACAGCATCTGGACTTTCCACACCACAATGCGGGCCTCTTGCTTTCATTTTTAAGAGGTACATGTTAATTTAGATTTTTCCTTGACATCTAATATTATGGTATCTTATTTTAGAAGAGAATATTTTCATCCCTTACTGCAGAGAAAACAATTTTTCACTGTTTAGAATTTTGCCATTTAATAAACTGGGAACTTCTTTCCATGAATGGTTTGCTTTTATAACTGGAAATTAGTCTGTGATTAAAATTTTTCAAACTTATTTTTATTTAGCCTAAAGGCAGAGAGATAGCAGAGAGAGAGAGAGAGACAGAGAGAGCGTTCTCATCCATTCATCTCCTCTACTCAAATACCCACAACAATCAAGAGTGGACCAAAGCAATACCAGCAATCAAGAACTCAACCCACTTTCCCAAGTTGGTGGCAGGAACTGAGCTATCTGAGCAGTCACTGCTGCCTTCATGTTCTGTGTTAGCAAGAAGCTGGAGCTAGTAATTGAATCTATCTGATTAGAGAGGTGGGCGTCTTACCTCTGGTATGCCAACTGCTAGGCTAAGTAACAGCCACAGTCTCTGATTTTTGTATGTGGATGTTTTTGAGGATTATATATTGCTTTTAAGATATTTGTACACAATCTATGTTACACACAAAATAAGTTCTGGTATCAGTGGATGCCACTGTGATATAGTAGAATGATCAGGGCATGTAGGACTCTAGAACCAGCTAGCAACTGCATGGCCATAAACAAGTAGGAAAG